GGGATCATGACCTGAGCCGAAGGCAGACGCTTAATGACTGAGCCACCCAGGAGCTCCTAGATTTCCTTCTTTAGTCAATAAGCCTCTCCTAAATAGGTTTACTTTCCTCCCCAGATGACTTTGCTCAGGCCTCCTGACTCACAGGGTCCTCTTTTCTTGTTCTGCTGAAACCCATCCCCTCTTTACTATCCAACTTCCTTCATAAAACCACTCCCTGCTAATACTGTCGATGCTGGTATCTTGGTTCTCTGATCCTCAGACCTGAATTTTACACTCGAGGCTTCTCATGTCAAGGGGAAACATGCTATTCCTGTCTAGTCATTTGTTTGTTTCATGTTATCCTTGCTGATTATTCACTATTTGTTCAATAAATGCCTGATTGGGTTTCAGGAATCCAGCATGAGAGGAGAGAATCTCTTTTCATTTTTGAGGTCACCTGCCCTTCATAATTTTTCCAACTTACTCTGCCCGTTCATGCATTATCTTTTTAATGTAATTAATGTATTAATGTACATGCATTTTAATGTAATTGTGTACTTGTTGTGTGCACAGTAGGGGATTAACAAATAACTGTAAGACATATCCACTGTTCTCCTTGAACAAATACTTGAATTATTTTCAGGTTTCATATACATATATATTAGTTAAATGATAGAATATATAAGTAAAACATGTGAAATTCTAAGAAAGAGATGGCTAATTTAGGCTTTACTAGATAAATTTCTTTAGAAAAATGAGATTAGAGTAGCCTGGTAAGTTTCTGGATGGGCAGGGAATGCCGTATTGTGGCAAAGGATGAAAAGACAGAAGGTACCCTGGTTGATTCCTTAAAATCCAAACTGCTGGGTTTCCCATTAACATCATGAAGAAAAATCTGTATTTTTATATAGATTTATAGCCTGTATGTCTTCTTCCTCTTACTATTTGATTTTTTTTTTAAGATTTTATTTATTTATTTGACAGAGCTAGAGACAGCAAGAGAGGGAACACAAGCAGGGGGAGTGGGAGAGGGAGAAGCAGGCTTCCCGTTGAGCAGGGAGCCCGATGTGGGGCTCCATCCCAGGACCCCGGGATCATGACCTGAGCTGAAGGCAGACACTTAATGACTGAGCCACCCAGGTGCCCCACAAAGACCTAGTTTTAATCTATTTTCAATCATGGATTGATTAAAGAGAGCCAGATTTTAACCCACAGTTCCTTAGAATCAGCTCAAGCTAAACCCTTTCACTTACCATCAGATCTGAGCTTGGGGCTTGGGGCATACTGACTCCACATTTCTTGCAGACTTTCATTAGTCTAAAAAGATTCCTACAAAGGAGGTTAATCTTCTGGGTGCAGCTTACTAGAAGAGACAAATATATCTATTTCTCCTTGGGATCAAATAGGAAGGAGAAAAGTGATGACAGGGTGGTATGAAGAACTCTTATTCCTCCAATTACCAGGGATAGATTGTTGCACATGGCCGATTGATTCCGTATTTTCCTCCTCTTTATAGTCAGCATCTTGAATTTAGATCAGATATCCTCAACACAGTCCTGCTTCAGGGCCACCGTAAGTTTTAAAAGCTGAACGTCCTCTTTTCACAGACTGTGATATGAAGTCAGATTCACATACAGATTCACAAAACTTAAGGAAAACATTGCAGAGATTTTTAAATTAATGTGTATAGACTTACAGCAAGAGCATGGGGAAAAACCTAATAAAAGCCACATGTGAATAGAAAGGAGAAAACAGGGGTGCCTGGCTGGCTCTGTTGGTGGAGCGTGCGACTTTAGATCTCGGGGTTGTGATTTTGAGCCCCACATTGGGTGTAGACATTACTAAAAAAAAATAAGTAAGTAAACTTTAAAGAAAAAAAAAGGAGAAAATAAAGACAAGTTACCTGCTTCATTGCTCCTTATACAGAGTAGAAAATGATTAACTAAAGTATCCAACTGGAGCTTATGAGCTGACATTTTTCTGTAGCCTCATCCCTTCTGCTCAACCAGTTCTTGCCTCTGTGTTTACTTCTCTCAAGTTGCAATGTCTTTGTATCCAGCATTGATTTGTCCACTGTACTCTCCCACACTACTCCTTCCCCTCTTCACCTCTCTTTCCATCCCATTCTTTTTTTCCCCAGATGCAAGACCATATTTGAGATCAAAAGAGGTTTCAGAGCTCTTTTATATGGACTACTGCCAGTTTTATGGTTCTACTGATGCATGTCTATCTTTCCTAGTAGAGGTGCCATCGTTCATGCTTCTGGCTCATTCCAGGTCTCAAGACTCGGCTCGAAATGGAAGCCTTGCCTCCCAGGCAGGGCATTTCTGGAGAAGAAACATCTCAGGGAATAATAAAGAAAAGATCCATTAAGTGTGGTCGCTGGGACACCAATTTTGGACAAACTTTGGGATTTGAGAGCAGGACAGAACAGGAGCAACAAAAGAAACCTCTTAGGCAAATGGTGGCCTCCCACAGAAAAACCATGAGTGGAGATATAAAGGAGACAAGTCTTGAATTGGGGAAAGGCTTACTTATAAATACAATTCTTGTTACACAGCAGAGTGTTCCTATAGAAAGGATACCCAATATATATTACACCTTTGGGAAAGATTTTAAACAGAATTTTGACCTAATCAGATGCTTCCAGATTTACCCAGGAGAAAAACCTCATATTTGTCACAAATGTGGGAAAAGCTTTGCCCAGAGTCTCCATCTGATTGAACACCAGAGGATTCATACCGGCGAGAAACCCTACAGATGTGACGAGTGTGGGAAAACCTTTAGCCACAGATCATCCCTTCTTGCCCATCAGAGAATCCATACAGGAGAGAAACCTTACAAATGTAATGAATGTGAGAAAGCGTTCAGCAGCAGTTCGACCCTGATCAAGCATCTGAGGGTGCACACCGGAGAGAAACCCTATCACTGCAAGGAATGTGGGAAAGCCTTCAGCCAGTGTTCAACCCTCACCGTACATCAGAGAATTCATACCGGTGAGAAACTCTATAAATGTGCTGAATGCGAGAAGGCCTTCAATTGTAGAGCAAAACTTCATAGACACCAAAGAATCCACACAGGGGAGAAACCCTATAAATGCAGTGAGTGTGGGAAAGGTTACAGCCAGTTTGCATCCCTGGCTGAGCACCAGAGGTTTCATACTGGGGAGCAGCTGTGTAAGTGCTTGGAATGCGGGAGAACTTTCACACGCATCTCAACCCTTCTCGAACACCAGCGAATTCATACCGGCCAGAAACCCTATCAATGTAATGAGTGTGGGAAAACCTTCAACCAGTGTTCCTCCTTCAACGAACATCGTAAAATTCACACCGGGGAGAAGCTCTATACCTGTGGAGAATGTGGGAAAGCCTTTGGTTGCAAATCCAACCTGTTCAGGCACCAAAGAATTCACACCGGAGAGAAGCCCTACCAGTGTAATGAGTGTGGGAAGGCCTTCAGCCAGTATTCTTTCCTCACCGAACACGAGAGAATCCACACCGGCGAGAAACTCTACAAGTGTATGGAGTGTGGGAAGGCCTACAGTTACAGATCAAACCTGTGCAGACACAAAAAAGTTCACACGAAGGAAAAACTCTATAAATGGAAGGAATATGGGAAGCCTTTTATCTACAGCTCCTCCCTTACTCAGTATCAGAGATTTCTTAGAGCAGATAAGCCCAGTGAAGTTTAATTCTTCTCTCAAATAATTCAAGACTCCTCATTAGAGAATAATAAATAGGGCACAGACTCTGGATTAGATTAAGTGGTTTTTTTTTTTTTTTGCTTCTGGAGAAAATATGATAGTTCCCACTAAGTCATGGTGAAATTGATCAGTGGGATTATGAAGAGTACCAATTTGTCAAATTTTCTAAGAACCATTAAATGCTAATAAGGTTTCTAAGAACATAGAAAAAATTTTTAATTCGTAGAAAAAATATAAAAGACCTAACTTAAAAAAAAATGAAAATAATGGTGTATACATTTTGTTTCATTAGAGTTTACTCCCTTTCTAAGAGCAAGCTTCGATATGAATTTTCCTTTAAATTAGTCATTGAGTTAATGTGAATAAGCATGAGGCCGTATTTGCTAAAATGGCAAGCAAGCATAGGACACACTCTTTTCCATAAAGAGAAACTCAAGGTAAAAAGGAATTCTTTAAATTCAAATTTTCACGTGGAAATAATGAAGCTCACTTTTTATGAACTGCCTCAGCGGCAGGTTGTATATATAAATATACGTATGTGGACATAGGACATACAGACATACACACGTAGCTTTAGAATATATGTATATTTTTTCCAAAAGTCTCTGGTGATTAAAAAATTAATTTACAATTTCGTTTTGGAAATGAAAATTTTGCCCAGATGGAATCTCTTTTCCTTTTCCTTGTATTATTTCTTAATTTGATATGATTTGACACTACTGAATAGAGTCTTAGGATAGTATTATAGAAGGTGCAGTGAACTAAAGCAAGGGAGACTGTCAACGCAAATACTCTCTTACCTGTTGCAGAAGGTATGTATTTGCAGAATCTGACTATATACCTGATAGCTTATTAGAGCCAGGAGGAATTTTCATTTAGTTTATTTATAGCCTTTCATTTTACTAACAAAATTGAGCTTCTTGGGCAGAGTCAAGGCTAGAATCTAAGTTTTCAGCTCTGGTTTTCTAGGATAATTATAGATATGAATTATAATCATTGGCTTCCAACCTCAAGTGCTAAGAGTACTAGGCACTGTTTATTTTGTAAACTGGTTATAGGCGCAATTGCGGTAATTTAATCAGTTTTATTTCTGTGTTTACCAGGTTCCCCCTAACTGCAATCTTACAGTCTCGTTCTTTCTTTTTCTTCTGTGTCCCTAATTATACCTGCTTTTATAATAACTGTACATAAATCCTCAGACTCAGCTTAGGTCCAGATGGTGAAATTGCTTTTGGGGTTTTCACGTACAAGATTGTCTTTTAGTTTGTTTTTGTTATTCATCTTTTAGGAATTCTTTTGTGTAAAGTGATATGTGAATATTTTATTATTAAACATTCTAGTCATCAGTTAAAATTGGCTTTCCAAACATTTTCCATATTTTTAACATACATTGCATTTTCCCCTGGGCCCACGTCCCACAATTTTATATCTCACTTTCACAATTGGTATCATTTAAAAAAGTATTCTAATAAAAGTAGCTAGAACCTTCTGTCTGAGAAAGGTTTTAGAATTAAATGCAGGCATTCAGCATAGCATGTTTCTTGACTTGCCTTAGCTCATTTGAAAACATCTTTTTATATATGTAAGTATATTTACAAGGAAATGAGCTTTTAAAAAGACCTCAGTGTTTAATACTGGACAGAGCCATTTGCAAGATATTCTAGAGAAAAACATATTTGGTTATCCAATAGCAATGAGCATGCTTAGTACCCAGATCTTGGTTTCCAAATGCTATTCCCCACTAAAAGGAGCCTGGGCTCATTGGAGAAATGCTGATTCCATTTCTGGAGCAGGGAAAGTAGAAGATGTGTCTGAGGTATCTTTTTATGAAACAAAACAAAAAGATAGCACTTCAAGACTAAGCACTCAACGGATAATGTCAGAAGGACACGGGAGCCATCTTGAAAGTGCTCTCACTGGTCAAATTTAAGATAATTTAAACATCAAAAATAACAGTCAATGAAATTGGTTATAACATGCTAAGTAAAAATGAGCCCATAATGAAAAAATGGTGGGAAAAAAAAGGAAAGCTCTCTATAAACTAATCTGAAGAATGTCATCTTTTAACTGTATATGGAATGACAGATTTAAAAAAATCACTATTTTATAACAATGTGATTAAACTAGGCAAATTGAATGGATGATAAACCCATTAGGTGAAAAAAATTTTAAGGAATATTATATGGTGTCAAAGTTCACAAATACCAATTGCAAAGAAATGATACACCTTTCTAACGGAGAGATCTGGCTGTCAAACTGAATTTCACTACTGGTGGGAGAGCCTGATGTTGTGTGGCTCCTGATGAGATGCAGGATGAGACATATGTGACCATCCGGGATGTATTCTTGCCAAGAGTGTTTAATGAAAATCTAATTAAACCTCTCATCCAGGTTTATGCTCCTATTTATAAGAAAGACAAGAGAGCAACAAGTCGAATTCCATGATGAGGAAATAGACAAACCTAGAGTTTGAGACTTTGTACAAGACAACTGGTCTGGATTTTTCAAGAAGCCAACATAGTAGAACAAAAAGGAGACTTCTAGATTAAGGCACTCAAGAGTCATAAGCAAGTTGTGATCCTTAGTTGGCTTCTGATTCAGAAAAATTAGAGCAACTATAAAAGACATTTGGGAGGGGGTACTTGGGGAAGTATGAGGATGGGATGGGTTTTAGATAATGTCATATGTTTAGTTTTCCTAGAAGTGATGGTGGTATTGAGGTATTTAGAATGATGTCCTTATTTTTAGAAGATGCATGTAAAAGTTTTCAAGTTTAAAAAGTCATGGTGTCTGCAGAACATTTTCAGGTAGGTATGTAAAAAATTAGTCAACTGTTGTGAAAAATTAGTCAACTTTGTGGAGGATATAGAGATGTTCATTGGTCATCTTTACATTTTTCTGTATGTTTATAATTTTAATAAAAATTTGAGGCAAAAAGTGATTGCATAATGTGATGAAGCTTCCAGTCAGAATTTTTCCTTTAGGGGCACCTGGGTGGCTCAGTCGTTAAGTGTCTGCCTTCGGCTCAGGTCATGATTCCAGGGTCCTGGGATCGAGCCCCGTGTCAGGCTCCCTGCTCCGTGGGAAGCCTGCTTCTCCCTCTCCC